GGGGGGAGTGGCACGGGCTGACTCAGAACACTTCAGTGCTCCTACTTGTGTGTCTGTATTAATCTCACTGCATAAACCACTTGCTATTTTTCCAATTCACTTTCAGAATTGCTAGCCTTACTCCATAACGCCACAGCTATGTTTTTCCTGTATCCATGGAGCGAGCACTGTGTGAAAGAGGGAGGAGGGGGCTGCTGCTCTAAGACCCTTCTCTGAAGATATCAGCTGCAGCAGAGGCAGATGAGCAGTGGAATTTACTGGAGTGAAGGTTCCAAAGGCTCTTCCAGGCCATGGTGCATTGCCGTGATTCCCACATAGCTCTCCTGTTCTTTCCTGACTTAAACATCAATGGCAAGCCAAAACCTGTACTAATGCCACGTACAATGGCACGACTGAAGACCTAAATGGCAGGGAATGCAAAGGTTAAAGCTGCTCTGAGAACCTTAATTTGCACTACGCAAGACATAAAGAATTTAACATGGAGAGACAGGAACATTACCGGGCGGAGGGGACCCATCTCCTGCAGCTGGCTCAGTCAGCCACACCAATGTGCAAGCTGCATCAATGCTATCTAGGGCATCTAATACCTATTAGTTTGGATTTCTCAAAGAAAACCCAACCCATCCTCTCTAGGCTGTTGCTCGTTGATTCCTTTCAGTTGAAAACTTTGTCCTTGCTTTAAACTGCCCACACAGGCAGGAGGTGATGGCGGTGCCTCCTTCAGCATGAATGCTAGGTCAGTGCCATGTCAGGGGCTGCCAACAAAAATAAAAGCACTCAACTGAAAAACAAGTTCCCCTGGCAGTTGTGTTGCATAAGCTTCAGCAGAGCACAGGGACCTTCAATTTGCTTCTTCCCTCTCCCTGCAGGGGGAATTAATTCCCACCTTGATGGCAAAGTGAAATCTAGGACTGACCTCTCCCCACCAAGGCCTGTGTGTCAGAGGTGCTGAGAACCTACCAGGCCTGCAGAAGTCAGCGAGCGCTGGCAGCTGCTTAGTGCCTTTGAAAGTCAAGCTGTAATACATGTCTTCCTCCACATATGCACCCCAGTGAGTCTCCTTTGCAACAGACATGCCATAGTCTGCCACTCCATTACACGCAGCCCCAGCAATAGTGTACATTCTAGCAGAGCACTATACTGAGTAGTAGGGACAAGGTCCATTTGCCACTTGAAACAAGCACCAAAGGTTTTTGTGGTGAAATCATTACGGTCCTGGAATGTGTGTCTGGGGTGGGGTGAGTGAAAGGGTAGCCCCATAAGTGGATAGAGGCAGCCAGCAAGATTAACACAGTTCATGCACTGTTTGCAGTGGAGTCCACCCAAAGGGACTGGAGGAAAGTTGTATGCACTAGCCCAGCAAAAGTTTTCACACGTTGCTAAGTAGAGCCAAACTTTTCCACTTTCCTTCACTTTGTGCTCTGGCTTAGCAAAACAAACAAGGGCTGAGAAGCAAGGAAGGAACCGGCAAGGACAGAGTATACATAGTCCTCCAATGATTTGGGTTTATGGACAGCAGTGGATGGGGAGAAGGGGAAAAACAGCTCAGAGGGCAAGTGGTAATTTGAGTCAAACAGAGGAGAATCTTTAATTTTTCAAATCCAGTGAGGCACCAGCAGCTAAGAGGAAGAATAGGGCTTGCCAGGATGCATAACCCGGGTCTTCCTTCCTTCTTTTGCTGACTAGCACCAATACAACTTGAAATGATTAACTGGAGTAACTGTGTCCAGTTCTGGATGCAGAGAAACTGGAGAATGCCCAGAGAAGAGTAACTAAAATGATTGAGCGGCGAGCAGTCCCGGGGCACCTTATAGACCAACTGAAGTGTTGGAGCATAAGCTTTCATGGGCAACGACCCACTTTGTCAGATGCACATCTGACAAAGTGGGTCTTTGCCCACGAAAGCTTATGCTCCAACACTTCGGTTAGTCTATAAGGTGCCACAGGACTCCTCGCCACTTTTGCAGATTCAGACTAACACGGCTACCCCTCTGATAAAATGATTGAAGTTCTAGAAAGCATGACCCATGAGGGAAGACTGAAAGAATTGAGTTTATTTAGTTTGGAAGAGAAGACCAAGAGGGGACGTGATAGCTTTCAGGTACCTAAAAGGGTGCTACAAGGAATGAGAAAAAGTATTCTTCTTAACCTCTGAGGATAGGACAAGCAGCAATAATGGGCTTAAATTGCAGCAAGGGAAGTTTAGGTTAGACATTAGGAAAAACTTCCTGTGAGGGTGGTTAAACACTGGAATAAATTGCCTAGGGGGACTGTGGAATCTCCATCACTGGAGATATTTAAGAGCAGGTTAGACAGACACCTGTCAGGGATGAGCTAGAGCAACTCAACTTTGGAAGCCAGGACTTGATAACCTCTAGAGGTCCCTTCCAGTTCTAGGATTCAAAATGCAGTTACCATTTATGCGCAAGATGGGAGCAGGTGTCTTCAGTGCAGTCCTTTGCGGCATTGTGCAGACACACAGGAGCCCTGTAGCTGTTATATGAAACCAATCATCAAACTAAGAGGCTGCAGAGAAGTCATATGCTCCTTTCTTGAAGTGAGCCTAACCCAACTTCTTTGTGCACCTCTGCTCCACAAAATCCCAAGTGTTACTATAGCACAGTCTGATTTTCACACCCACGAGAGACAGCTGGCTCCCCTTCTCATCCCTCCCCCCTGCAGCATGACATGTCAGAAACTGCTGCTGCCAGAGGCCGAAAGAGACAAGTGAGAAGTGTGACATGTTCTATTGAAGCTGTCACCTCTGTTCAGGTGTGATCCCTCCTTCTGGATGACTCAAGCTGCAAGCTCCCTCTTTTAATAACAGAATCCCCAGAGATGAGTGTCTCAACACCACTCTACGCTCAGGCTTTGGAGAAACTAGCCAGTGATTTCATGGGACATGTCCCATCTTGTTGCTCTTTCCACTGGGTTACCAGAGCGTTGCGGCTGAAGATGGTAGCTATGTTACTGGCTCACGTATGAGGCCCAACTCCAGGTAATTATTCCTCCCACCCTGTGAGCACTGCCTCAGTCAAGTGATCACCAGTGTCTTTTTAATATCCCAGAGAAGTGTCCATCTGAAAGCGTGGGAGGGAGGATGAAGTTCTCTAATACAGTATGAACTGTACACCATGCACTGCCTCCTGGAACTACTCCTCAACCTGACCCTGCTAAGGCAGGGGGGGTAGATGGGTCCCCTCAAATCATTCAGGCCCTGATCTCTTTGTGGGGAGAGCCAATTTGGCCCACTGTCCCATTAGGAGCAAGACTGAGACAAGCCCTTCTCCTCATTCACTCAAAGGCCAAACAGCTAGCAGCTGTCAACTACACACAGCCTTGGCCAGCTTCAGGCTGCCTTTGAACCTGTGGCCAGGAAGTGAAAAGGGTCTGTATCTCCTGCCTCTACCTCACTTTGTCCCCTCCACCAGCCATCATGAGAGGGGCTATTAGGGCCACCCACCTTTGCTAAGCCCCACTCTGCAAACCAACCACAAAGAAAACCTGTCTAACAACAGGTTTTACATATTGTAGACATGATCGTAAAGCTCAGACACGCACAAATACACACAGGTGTTATTTGGTTCTGTCAGCCCCATGGTATCCAGTCTGGGAGAGGAAAGTTTTCAACTTCTATTGCATTAGTAACCAAAACGCTATGAGCAGGCACTGTGCATTTTCACAGGGCCTCCCAAACACCACAGGGGAAAAACCAAAACAAACCTCAGTGGCACTGCAATACTGCAAGCCAGCTTCCAGTAGCTCTGAGGAAAGGATCACTCTGTGTGGCCCCCTTGCATGGGACTAATGCCACCCCTTGCTGGTGCAGAGGAAAGGAAGACTAAATTCATTAGATTCTGGTAAACTCAGGTGATGGGCTGTTTCCACTAGCCCTACTACGTACCCAACAGATTTGAGTTGCCACAGTATCCTAAGATTATGCAGCTCTTTTCAATGAAAAGAATCCACAACATATCCAGGGATCAGTTCACCTTGTCTCCCTCATATGGAAAAGAGGAAATGTTTCAACATCCTACAATCCTCCATTATATTGAACCCAACTGAAACGTGGAAGGGTGGGTTTACAGTGAGCAGAATACGATTAGCTCCCTCCTGGAATCAGACCCATCCTGCTATGAGAAATGCCGCAGGCTCTAACAAGCTTATATAATGAGGATTAATACTGGTTACTCTTTGCTTCAGAGAAAGACTTTCTTCTCTCCTGCTTGGAGACTAACACATTTTGGGTGCTAGATCAACCTGTTTTACTTCTCTGCACTACATCTAAAACACCATTTCCTGCAGCAACCCAAATTCTTTGCTGGACGCTTCCCAGCCAACTGTGAGGGGGGCTGGGCCTGTTCATCTTATGAAACCCGGGAAGATTACAGCTCAACATGCTATGGCTAGACAGGCCACGTATGCACTTCTGCAGTAGTTAGTGAGGGGAGCCAGGATTTTTCTGAAACTTCAATGTTCATGTGACAGTGATTCACTAGGAGGAGGAATCCAAAGTTTGAGTGAGAAAAGAGGCCCCTGGGGCACGGAAGGCTAGTTTTCAGCCCCCTTCAGCTGTGAGAGGTGTCTCTCTTTGATGATCACTAATGACCAGTGTTGTGGTACTGATGGAGATGTAGAAACCCCATCAGTGCTGCTGTGGATCAAAAGAGACTTCAGGAAGGCAGCCTCTTCTTTCGAACTGCACAATAAGGAGCATAACTAGATATGTTACATATTCCTCTGAAGCATTCACCTCTTCACTGGTTGAGAAGAGATATGAAAGTATGCACCAGTTGGTTTATGTGGAGGAGGATACCAGACTAGATGGGCCAGGGCTTTTATACTATCCAGCACCAGGTGGAAGGTTGGCTGAGATGAAGCAATGGTCTTTCTAGGAGGGGGTTAGCTAGCAAAACATCTTTGTGCTATCATCAGGGCAGAAAGCCCCCCCCCCGACCCCCCCCCCACTCCTGTTGAGCACACAACACAGGACAAGAGGCTATTATGTATCATGCTTTTAATACAAACTTAAAAAATCTGGAACAATAGAAACTGTACAGATTTGATCAACTTTTTGTTTTGTTTTTAACTAAAATCTCTAGACACGCCAATGTCCCATTCCAAAATATTGCACAACATTCTGAATACAAAACTCTGATTGTATTCTTCCTTTGCTAAAGAAAAAGTCAGCAGCCCCCTGATCCCCCTTCTCTCAGTAGACCCCTTCTCATAAAAACCAACAGAACATAGGAACACTCTACGTTAACATACATAATTCTGTCCTTCATGTTGACACATTTTCTCTCTGTCTCCAAGATCACACAGTTGTTGAGTCTCTCTTCACAAGGGGTTGGGGAGGGGGAAAGAGGGAGCTGGGGGTGGAGAAAGGAATTTTCACTGCTTTTTTTTTTTTAAGTTTTTTTTCCTGAAAAAATATTTTTCTCTCCTCTTTAAGAAAAAATCTCAAAGAAAAAATTACATTTTTTACGTTAGAAATATACATATATTATATATACCTCTTACATTTTACAAATGTAGCAAATTATTCAATACAAACGGACATCAACAAAAAAACACAAACCCATAAAAAATAAAAGTTAAAAAAAAACTCTCTTGCTCTCTTTTCCTAAGAAACCAGGTTAATTAGTGCAGGTTTTAAAAAATAAAATCGAAGCTGAATGCCTAAATCCAGACCAAAAAGGCCATTAGTTTAATTGCCACCAGTGCTGGAGAAACGCTTCTGAAGCACGCTTTTTTCCCCCTCTTCTTTAAGATACAAAGAGGTTGGTCCCTCCCCTTTCCGTCCTTGTATTTGCGACACTAATTTTAAAGCAGTTACAATACGTATAAGCAGGTTAAAGCAGCGTCAAAGCTTAACACACATAGCAGGTGGCTGGAGATGTTCCATCTCTCCTCTCCCTTCCCATGCCATAAGAGGGTGCACAATCCCACCCAGGCAGTGACTCATGGCAGCATTCTGCTGAAGGATGAGAGGGGTGGAAGCAACAAAGGAAACTGGGCTGGGAAGTCAGCCGGTTCCCTGAGTTGCAGAGAGTTTAGTCCAGTGCAATAGTCTGGAAGTCTACGTACTCTCAAAGGGGAAGGACTGGATGGCAGTGGTAAAGTTGGTGGGAAGCAACTTGCTTCGGGAAATGGTGTGTTGGGATTCAACCCAATGAGAAGAATACCATGCCAATAAATGCAATAGTGGGTGGATTTAGAAACAAGCCTCCCATTGAGAGCAGGGTGCTATCAGTTGTGGCAGGGGAGTTCCTTAACCTAAGTTAGGCTCATTTACAACATACACACAAAGACAAGAGTGCTGGAGTGTCATCAATTCCGGGATTTTGTGGGTGGAGAGAAATGGTAATTCAAAGCTTATTCCCACTGCCAGACAGCGAAGTCCTGGAAAAGTAAACTGGATCTTACTCCTTAATTACAGAAATATTCAAGGTGGGTCTCGGAGGAGTTCCAGAGATGGGTTTAGTTAAAAATCAAACATGGGAGACAGCACAGATGGAAAAGCCTTAAGAAAAAGAATGCCTCAGAGCTAGATGTATCCACTTCAGATCTCTCCTCTTCACTTTCTTCCTAGCCCAAGGCTGATCCCCAGAAGGCAGTCTTCCTACCTAGAGTCCCCAGTCCCAAGTAGCCTCCTTGGGTTCTGGGTTGCCACACCTGGGAGGAAAAGGAAAGGCTGTGGAATCACAGGATGCACAGGCAGCCTATCAAAGGCCACTACAATCTTACTCCTTTCCCTTGCTCCCTTTTCTACTGTGGAGGGATAACCAGGGTTGCAGCTTTAGGATTCCTAGCTTTGTGTTACTCCCAATAACGAGGAGGGAGAGGCCATTCCTGGAATATTCATTTCTTCTCCCCTCACTACCAGTCATTTTAAAGTACTAGCCCCTATTCTGCAATGAGTTCCCTCTAAACTACCCATCTCTGGCTGAATCCATCAGTTAACACTAGGGGCTGAGTACAGCCCTTCCTGGGCAATCCCCCCTGTATTAAGTCACCTGCCCCCTCCTATCCTTCCAGGAAAGCAGAGGGGTTTGATCACACTTTATTATTCTTAATAAAAGAAAATGGTAGGTGATGTCCCTCAAGCTATTAATCCGGAAAGCAGCCTAAGTGATGCAGCCACCTACTCCCCAGAAAGCTATGCTGCCTCCTCGAAAGAAGAAAAACGTTTGCCCTTGTAATCAAAGGCAGCTGAGAGTAAGATAACTCAAAACATTTAGAGACTGCTCCAAAGGAGTATCCATGAATGCTGCTTACATTGGTGGAGAAGAAAAGCACATGACAGGCAGTATATCTAACCTGTGCACAGAAAGAGAAGTGCAATACAGAAGAACCAATGTTTCTTTCCTTTAGACAGCAGTAGGAGCACCTACTTGTATATAAATAACACCCCTCTTGAATTGACACTTGGAGGCCAGCTCAGACAAGACCCTTTGTACATGGGAGAGAGGTAGGGAGGGAAGAAGGAATAAAAAATGGACTCACTGATGCAATGCTGTGCTGTTCTTCTCCAGCATTCACCTCTGGGTGAAAGTGCAGAGCAGGAAGATAGCAGGAAACAGCTGTTCCATAATAGCATCCCAGCTTACCCACCACTGCTAGAAGCTATCAAGGGAAAGGAGGCTGGGGGAATCTTATTCCAAAACGCAGACTGGCATTATCTCTGGCAGTTTTGAAAAGTTTCAGATAACAAGGGCATGGCAGTCTAGAGCATGCAGGGTAAGGAGAACTCAGTACATTCACCCTGTCTGTTCCCAGACAAAGAAGGGGAATTAATCATGAAAAGAACCAAGCCCTCATGCCCCCTCTCTGGGAAGCATGCAATGAAACAGTGCATCTCTAGACCGGCACTGAAAACCAAACTAATACAAACCCTCTTAGCAAGGCAGCCTAGAATCCAGAGATATGGGAATGCCCAGAACAAGGCCATCTCTACACCAAAGAACAAGGTACTGAAGCCCAGCTCTGAGGAGGAAGTTGGGAGATAGAAAGATAAAGTGACCTATGTTTCCACCACTTCTGGACCAAACAAACCCATTACATGAGTAAAAAAGTGGGTAGGAGAAACCACGGGGATTGAGTTAAAAAACCAATTCAGTGCTTCAGGAGCGCTGCCCGGCACAGCACAATGACTCCGGGGTTGTCTCTCTTTCCAAGAAGCTATATTTATAAGATTTCAATTTTTTGTATATTTCTATTTTTCATTTTTCTTCTTTTTTTAATTCTTGTTTTCCCACAAATATTCTCCTTTCTGCCGGTCAGTTGGCCAGGACGACAGGCTGGAATGACTGGCTGGGATACTGCATGGTGTTCAGGTTGTAGCTGAGTCCTTCCACAAAGGGAGACTTCTCCAGGAAGAGGCTGTTGCTGCTGCCGCTGAAGACCTGAGCCATGTCAAAGCCGCTGCTGCCACTAGTGCTAGCACTGAACTGGGAGGCTGGTGGAATGTTGCCACCCTGATTCTCGCTGGTAACACCATCAAAGAAGAGGCCACTGGCTCCAGATGATCCGCCACTGTAAACAAACTCCTTGGCATTTGGGGAGAGCTGTGACTGAGGAGCTTGACTCCCCCCGCCCCCAACGAAGTTTAGAGAATGCATAGAGAGGGAGAGGCCCTTGTGCTTCAGTAGGTTGTTGGTGGGTGATCTGGCCATCCTTTGCTGCGGCTGTGGAGCTCCTGCTGCTCCACCCCCACCCTTCTTCATCTTGGTAGAGCCAAACTTGGTGGCAGCAAAGGTGGCAGTGGTAAAGGTGATGGGCTGGGCAGAGCGGGGGATGAAGGTGGGGCTGGGTGACTGGCCAAAGGATGGCGATGGTGAGTTGGACAAAGAGTTGTCCTGGCTACCAATGGGGACAAACACCTGGGCATCAGGGTTGAAGCTGCTCTTGATCTCCTTGTCCAGCTCAGCTGCACTGCAGCCCTCACTGTCATCCAGATACAGGACCTTGACAGACCCTTTCTCGCCAATTTGGTAGGACACCTCAAAGGGATCAATCCAGACACTCAGTTCTTCAGGCACATTGGCCCGCACATCCTCTACAGCTAGCCCGCTCCGCTTGGCTGCCAGTTCCACCACTGGATCCACTGTTTCTCCAATGTGGACGCAGCGATAGCCAGAACCCTTCAGAGGCTTTTCCGGGTACCAGTGGCCCTCATATTTTTTCTTTAGCAGGCGTTCTAGCTCTTCACCAAACAGGTCTGCCCGCCTCCGAGGAAGCTTGTTATACAGGTACGAGATGATGAAGTTCAGAGCAACTTTGATCTCCAGATGCATACTCCCTTCACAGCAAGCAAGTCAGGGCAGCGTATTGAAAGACAAATGACACACACAAGATTTGGCTCCAAACAATCCTAAAAAAGAAAGAAAAAAAATGGATGAAGGGAGAGGGAAAAAAAAAGTGTGGCAACTTTAGTATAGGTGAGACAAACAGCTTAGTATATTTGGAAGAAATGTCTAATCCTTTAAAAATGGCATTTGCAATGCTACCTCATAGAATAAAAACTACACAAATGCAATCAATCCTCATTCTATGTGACAAACGGATTGCTAAAGGAGGTCAGGAAGAAATTCTGCCCATCTAAACAGATTGAGTACTACATTGAAATCTATGTGCATGTTGCCATTCTCCCACATGGATCACCAAGGAAGACAGGATACCAAACTAACCAGACCTGTTGTGATACAGTGTTAGTATGTATTTTAATACATCTCTTTTTGCTCCAACTCTTATTTATGGCCTTGACTTTATGTGCCTCTGATTAAAAGAAATTACATCAAGGCAGAATCATGAGAGTCTATCCCCAACCAGAGTGGAGATCAACTCCTGAACTCTGTATGGCAATACCAGCCTCTCTTCTGAAGAACAGCAACACTGCTCAATTAGAAGGAGGCGGCTGCTGGTGATTTTTGAAGATCTGCATTCACTAGTCCTGCTGGCTCAAGGATGAGAGAGTGGAGGTGAGGATTTAATGATAGTGAGGCACTAAAAGCTAGCTCAGTTTTACTAATTCCTCAAAGTAGATAGCTCATCTTACATTCAGATACTCACCACCCCCCACTCCCAATGCAGGATTTGTCTGGCTAAATCAAGCTTAAAAAGTTCAATGTCTTAAGTTGAATTAAATTCAGTAACCAGTGTGGGGTTTACACACTATCTACATTGCTGGACACCTGTCATGCATAGTTCCCAGCCCTGTTGTTATTCCAGCAGAAAGGAGTGCATGGGGAATAGTGCAGGGACTGGAATCCCACACAACTTTCAACTCACTTGCCAGAAAAGAACTAATCTTCTTCCCCTTCCTGATGAAGTCATTACAGAAAGTAGGAAAACCCACAGAAGCAGAGTATGAAACCACAAATACTGACTCTCCAGGGCTTATCTTCACTACGCTGCAGTGATCTATCCACTGGTGGTCAATTTATCATGTGTGCTTAGACGCAATAAATCAATCTCCGAGCACTCTCCTGTTGACTCCGGTACTTCGCCAAGATGGAAAGAATAGCCAGAGTTAAGTTAGGGGAGCAGCCCCTGCCAACTTTACTACACAGAAGACATTATGGTATGACGGCCAAATGGATTTTTTTTTGGGGGGGGGGGGAGGTATGGAGCACAGAGTAAGATGCAAGTCTTCCCTTGCAGAACTGGGAACCCATACAACACCGGTCTAGATCAAGAGAAGCAGCAAAGAAAACTGATTAGTGCTAGTTTAAAATGGATGTTGCATAGATTAGATCAATGGTGTGTGTGTTAGTGCAGACAAAGGCGTAGACAGATTAATGGACAATGTTTGTCCAAGAACACCACACTCTCCAGGTGGGTCATATCCTCAAAGTAAACAGATGGAAAAGGACTCTCATAGGTGTCTTAAAGAAGAAGCATACCATAAATCAACTCCTATTCAATTCCGCAGGGAAGTGACACATCCAGTTTTAATTGATAGCTTAGTCAGAGGCAAGTCGGCTCTTCCCTATCCTGGGCGCTGCTCAGACAAACATATTCACAGTGCATACATCCATGTTGGCAAAATGGGCTCAAGAGACACTCTCACATGTTCAGCCCAACCATTTAGGTTGAAGGCCAAATGGATTTTTTTGGGAGGTGGGGGGGGGGGGGGGGGGGAAGAGTATGGAGCACAGAGCAAGATGCAAGTCTTCCCTTGCACAACTGGGAACCCAGGCAACACTGGTCTAGATCAAGAGAAGCAGCAAAGAAAACTGATTAGTGCTAGTTCACATATTCTGGTTGAGTGGATGGTAGGGAATAATTATGCATGGTGACCTGCACAATTTGTTTTAAAATGGAGACTGAATTATAAATAAAAAATGGCAGTACAAATTAGGGATGTGAACATATATCAAGTACACTGGGCTCATCAGTTAATCCTCAATTACATGTATCCCTGCCCCCCCCCACATCAAAGGTAGCAGCATGGAGGAAGAGGTGGGAGCCAGTACACGGCTCCCCATGCATGCTGACTCCAGTGGAGCCGCCTACCCCCTCAATGTGTAAACATGCAACTGCTGAAAAATACAGTGGTTACATGTTTACACAAATAAATGTGTTTTAACATTCCTAGTACAAATTATACATTAAAAAGATACTATATTGGTAATTTATGTTCAGAGTGGTTTATTTCCGAGAACAACAGGCAGTCGGAGCTGCAAATAGTCCAAAATCAGCTAGCCCAAGAAGTTATGGAGTTCTAGAAATAAATTACTTCAGGTTCAGCCCAGTATAGAAGTGAGTAGAGGCAATGAATGATGGGTGAGAATTGAAAAGATACCACATCAGCCTTTGAAGCTTGGATTTCGGAAGTTACTGGACCATGAGAAGTTCTGTTATGTCACTAGGAACTCATTTAATTTAAAATATAATAGAAACATGCCAAGAAGAATTGAACAAGGCAGCTTTTTGAAAGGCCAAATAGGACAGGTCATTCTCACACTGGTGTATAGGTAGGACTCTATAGCTTGAAATGGAGTCTTTCAGAGAAGGGGAGAGAAACAGTGGATCCCAAAAAATACATGCTGAAACGATAACAGAGGCTTCATCAGTCTGTATTATCCCAAGTAGATTGCCTAAAACCAACTTCTGTTACTATGTTGTTTTTAAAGCATCCAGCCTGGTCCAGTGGAATCCTAGCAAGACTGGAGGTGAGAGGGATAACATCTAAGGCTCACAATTCTGATCCAGCTCCAGTGCATTAGAGACCAAAAGTTAAGCCCCTCCCCTTAACTTGGTTTTCATATTTCTGCAACAACTTTTGTAGAGAAATAAACATGTTTTTAATAGTTCCAAAAAGAGAGACAATGACAGTATAAAAATACAAGCTATCTGAATATCTGTACTTGACAAGGGTCTCTAACAGAACAAGGACAGGAGGTAATAAGTTTTCTTACAAAGAGAACAGATATAGAGATCTTTAACAGAAACAGCCAACAGCCTTACTGGTCCCCAGCAACGCCAGGCACATTGAAACAGACAAATGGGATCAATCAGTGGTTAGTCTGGCACCAGATGTTTCAGAAAAAGGTAAGTGGGGGAAAAAAAAAAAATCTACACAGTCCATGGATTTCACTAATGTGGCACAAAGTCATGGAGCCACTCAGAAACATAATACTTCAGTGGGAGGCAAGATGGCAGAGTAGTAAAATGCAGCAATACATTTCAGCATCAAAGAGTTGTTATAAAAATGGAGTACTTTTTCTTTTTTTAAAATGGCGAATACTCTGAGTGTGACCTCTGTAGCTTCAATTTAAAAAAAAGAAAAGAGATTAACCAAATAACAAGACAGCTACTACATACAACAGGCCTTGTCAAATGCCTTCAAAAGAGAGACAGAGGGTTTCAAGAGAGCAAGAGGCACCACTTATTCCCCACATTAGCACAAAAAAATGCATTCCATTAGGATACCTTAATCCCTGGATTGCCAATACAAGAACCCCTATGGTGAAGCTGATTACCAGTTTTAAGCCATAAAACAGTTGCAGCTAAATTTGCACAATTGCAGGGAACACACACGTTTTCTTTTAGATACCTAGGAGGTTTTTGTGAGGGGTGGGAGGAAGCAAAGGTCTTGAAGCTGGTGACCAAGGTAGAAAACGTAATAGCATGTTTTGCAAATGATAAGGGCAGTCACAGAAAAATGTGCATATTTTCCGCAGGTCCTGTATATATTTGCTGGACAATTATTTTATGATGGAAGGAAAGCAGTAGGGGAGGAAAAACAAAAGGATAAAAGTTTTACCGCATATGTTATTTTGCAAAAATGCAGCTCTGGAGGTCAAGAAAAGAAAAGAAAATAGGCAAAATGACTGTACACATTAGATGAAGTGAACACCTGAAACATCCCCATTCCTTCCTGATATGAAGATATGAGGCAGTGACCTTGTAAAACAAGTTTCAATATGGAACAAGATCTATTTTTTAACCTATAAACTGTAATTATCCCTCTGAAAATAGGTCTGCAATTCTGCCCCCTCATCAAGTGCACACTGTGACATTTCAAATGACTTAGAAAAAAAATCAAGGCCGGGATGATAAAAGATTATTCTATGTTATTTTGCAGGCCACACCTTACCAAAACAACAATCTGGTCTCTAACCATCTTCACTCATCCCCACCCATGGATTGTAAGAAGTAATCTAATAATTTTCTACTTTAAATAATTGTTACAGCACATAACCTTCAAAATAAAATAAAAAATTAGAAACATTAGCCACACCTGTAGATGGTATGCAGGGGGAGGAATGGGTCCCTATGTAAACACATTTAGACCCAAGGATTGCACAATCCACTGTCTCCTGTTCCTCTTATAAACACTATCAAAACCACTAGTGTGTTGTATGTGGTGATGGTGTATTATAGAGGACACACCCTCCCAGCCCCATTTCATGCAAAATATGTCTACAATAGGGGGGCCTGTACTGCAGATCAGTCTCTCACAGCTGGGAGTCCAGCCCCCGCCCCCCTCCAATTTAAGCACAGCAGCCAAGGCTCATAGAGGATGATGCACTTACAATAACCCAGCAAAGGAAATTTCTACTCTGGGGTCCGCTTCCCCCACCTTACTATACCTAACACGCAGTATCCTGGGAGTTGTAGTCCTTCACGCTCCCCTTCTTCAGCCCTTTAACTGAGCCAAGGCGTGTGACCTACTTTGCATCTGAACTACATTTCCCAATATGCCTTGCGCCAACCCCGGAGCAAAGAACCAGCGCATGCTCAGTGGAGCAGTGTAAAAAATTTTCCATGGCACATGCGCCCTGGGTGCTCTCAATCCTCCCTGCCAATTGCCCAATGCAAGAAACACACCCCTTGTACCGTGTCATCGGGAACTACTGGGTATTTTTAGGGGTTAAGTGATCTCGTCTTTCGGAGGGGGGAGTGGAAAGGGCTATTCACCTCTTCCCTCCTCATACACACCCCGGAATCCCAAGCACACATTAATAACTATCCCCTTGGTTGGGGGCTAGGAGTAAAATCCTAAGGTTGGGGGCTGGAGAGCTCTTTGATTGTATTATAATAATTGCATTTAAAGGCTTCAGGCCACACCTGTACCCGCACCCCAACAAAAAAATAATAAAGTTATCCAGCTTGCACCCTCTACTCCCTCCCTACTGTCTTCTCACCCCCTTTACTTACTAAACCCTGCTCAACAACCAGGGTGCCCTGAGGTCCCAATATTCGGGACTTTGCCTGTACAAGACAAATATACAACCGTGCTCTCCCACACCAAAAAATAAGGGTCCTGATTTAACACACTTACTATCCGGTCATCCTACCTACAGCAGCAGCCTGGCTGCTGGGAAAAGAGACCAAACCAACAGATCACAAACAAGGCCTCAGGAAGAGGCCCAAGGGGGGGGGGGGGGGGGGGGTTGAGGAGAAGAGGAGACATGGATGATTCCCTCCCAGGCACGGACAATTCTCTGCCTCCACATAAGTGACTGGAGAAGGGTGGTTTTGTGGAAAAAAGGAATCCCTAATAATCCTCCATAAAGGGAGCCCAGTCCCAGAGGTGATGGGTGTAAGACCAACTGGGGGAGGTGGGGAGGGTGCTTAGGCCTGACCTTTACTTCTGCCTGCAAGGTGGCAAATGACCTCTCATTCTCCCCGGGGAAAGGAGGCTCAGGCCAGAGTCCTGGCTTTGTTACAGGACACTCAAGTCCTTCAGACTGGCCACCACCAATCCCCACCGCCCCAGTGTAAAAGTCTTTAGGCCTAGTCCTTTGTCGGACACCCCCGTTGCAGCAAAAACATCATTAGTCCTTCTTAGAGGGTGGCAAAGAGGCATACATCTGATCTGACACCCGCCAAACAATAAGGGAAACTCCCTAAAGGGAAAGGAAATAATGAACCCACTAAGGGCACTGGGATTATTTTCCTGGTGTAGGGGCGTAAGGGCCGTTCCTGAGCTATGCCTCACTCAGGTGCCCTTCAGGTCCCTAGCCCAGGCCCGGGAGGAGGGCGACCAAGCATAAAACAGAAACGTCGCTTTGACAAAACACAGCCAATGCCTGTCGTCAGCAGCGCTGAACGCAGCGAGCAGCGCTGCCACCTTCGCCCCCTCCAGCCACCTCAGGAGTCCCTTTCGGCCAAGGACAGCGGCTTCCACAAAAGGGGGCGGAACCAGCCCCCCCCCCTCGTTTTTTTTCTCCCGTATTAGCCAGTTCTCAGGTAGCTGCCCCCACCCCCCGGCTCATTGGATCCGGACCTTTCATTTTTAAATCCCCTCGCAACGCGAACAACAGCCAGAACAAAATGGTGAATTCGGGCATTTCAAAGCGTCACCAGCCAAATGCCTGTCACACGCACACCCCCTTTGCCAGTGAACCTCCCCCCTCCCCCAGGAAGACGGGAGCCCCAGAAAGGCTTTAAAGGCTGCAAAACGGCGGCGGGGGGGGGGGGGCCAAAAAAGCCAATGTCCTACCGAGTTAAGCTCGCAAACGGCGAGCGCCCTCCCTTCGCAAGCCAAGACCGGATTTTCTCCCAGCCGCCCGGCCTGGCGCAGAGTGGGAAGGGGCAGGGTGGAAACTGAGGCAGGGGGCTTTCTCCGGCGCCGCGCTCCGCTCAGCGGGAGAGCAGGCGGCGCCGAGCGCGCAGGCGAGCCAGTTGCAGTCAGGCAGCAGGGGCTAGGCTGGGGGAAGACAGCGGGTCCCAGTCCAAGGGGGCGGCGGGGTTGAAACGGCAGGTGTCAGAAAGCGGGAGGCAGGGCCTCTCTATGCCCCCCGCACCCGGATCGGCAGAGAGAGCGCAAGCCCCACTTACTTCGTCCTCAGCTGCAGCGGAGGTGGGCGGGAGGCTTCTTTCTGCTTCCAGGGGTGGGTGTTGCTGGAGGGCTCTTTTTTTTTCGTGCTCTCTCTTTTTCTCAGGGTGCGGATGCGGTTTGGGTTTGGGGTGGATAGGTGCGTGACTCCCCTTGCTATGGGCTGGGTGGGAGGGGTTGTTTGGGGCGCCCCCTAGGTGGTTTCCCCCCCCCCTCCTCTCCCTCAGCTGGGATCCGGAGCCTCCCTCGCCCTGGCCCAAAGTGAGCAAAGTAAATGAAAAGTTTCACCCTTAGCAACCCTGCGCAAGGATCTCCTCTTCCACACCCAGCGTGACGCGTCCCGCAAAGGACAAGGGGGTGGAGGAGAGGAGAGAGCCGGAACTACTTATCCAAACCCTCGCTGGAAATTAACCCTTTTGTCCATGCCCGCCCCAGGCATTAGCCGCGGCTGCTGCGAGCCTTCTTCAGAGGGAGAGCGCGTGGATCAGCAGCTTGTGTGCCTCTGTGGCTGCTTGTCTTCTGCCCTGCTTCAGATGATGATTTCCGCATCTAGAGCTTGGAGCTTTCCTTTTTTTTCTGTCTTGCTCTGGTCACGGTTGATCCCCGCTGGCCAGGCAGCTATGCGCTAGGACAGTGCTGCAACCAGGGACAGCTGGCTATTTGCGCAGCTTATTTAGTGGGTTGTAATGCAGTGGCGTCGTACACACTGGTTTTAAGAGAGGAGAAAGGGGCACGGAGGGATTTGGAAGGGATCAAATAGCCAGGCTGGATTGACCTGAGATTTCCTCAAGCTCCTTATTACTTCAGGACTTAGGAGAGGGCAAGAGTATCAAAAGGAAGGGGAAACCCGACAAGACTTTTATTTTATCCCCCATGCATCGTTATATGACAATATCCCAGCGGCAGCTACAACGCTTGGTGGGTGGGTGGGTGTGTGTTTTAAAGGGTGACTGATCATCGTAGACATCCATCTCTGGAGAGCGAGGACCCGCTTCAAAAATTACTTCAAAGCAGAAGGCTCTTTGAACAAACGCAGTCACAGTCCAAAGAAACGAATTAAACCCGTGATACACTCTCAGTATCAAAACTGTTTCATTAAAAGGGTAACCCACCACCCTCTTTTTAAAAGGTAGTTGACAGAAATTCCCTATCTCGGTAATGCCACAGACTGCTGAGCAAAAAAGCTCTCCCAGCAACTGAGAGAAGATAGATGTGTTCCAATTATTTCCCCCACGCTGCTCAGTAGAAGACCCATTAGCCAATCTCCTGATCTTGCCACTGCCGGTCTCCCCCCAGTAACAGGCTGTTGGTGGCTCGGGTCCGAGTGGGGAACACACGTGGGGGTGTGCACAGGCTGTTCGGCTACGCTCAGACGGGTGCACCACGAGTATAAGGCTGGGCCATGGGAGCGGTGGGTGGTATCAAGGCAAGGCGAAGGCAGGCTTGTGCTAGCACCACCGCGTTTGCATGCGCGTGGGCACCTCTCTCGCCCAGAGACCGCCAGCGCCCGGAGCTCACTGGCAGCCCCTCTTTTCCCAGGGGAGACTCCGCACGGAGCCCGAGTTCACACGCGTTAGCCGGTCGGACAGCTTGGCCCCATTAGCGCGCGTTCGGGTGGGGAGGGCGGCTCTGCAACGCGCTGCTGCCCCCCTTCCAGCCTTCATTTCACAGCGCTCTTCGCACTGGGGCAAATGGCCTGCCCCAGCATCCTTATTGGCGCAGCCTTACACCCTCTGACAGGGCAGGGAACTGGGAGAGAGCCCTGTTAAATCAGCCCCTTTTCCCCGCCCCCACCAGAGAGGAGACTGTTCGCTGGGACGCATTTCCCTCTTCTAAGCCTCTGCTTTCAACGCCCAGCTCACGGACTATTTTTTTCCCAACGCGCCTGTGCATTGACTTCATCATCGACACTTCAGGCGCAGGCATTAATACACTCGGAGCGGCCCGCAAGGTGCACGAGAGCAGACTGTGCTAAAAATAACAGCGGCATGTTAGCAACAGCCTCCCCATTGGCTGGCAAGGTTAGGAGGCGCTTCCGGATTGGTCTATTGCGTCAACCAGTCAGATGAAGGGGGCGTTTGCGGGCAGGGGCACCTCTGCCACGGAGCAAAGGCTTCTGGGAGTTGTAGGTTTCTTTTAAAAGGCTCCAGTGGGCCTTACAATGGGGCCTTCTGTGTCTAAGTCCTGTTGCTTTAAGGTTTTATCTAGGTCAAGCTGGCAGAGTTCACCTTAAGCACAAACAAGATAAATTATTACTTAAAACTATGCTGTAGGCTCAGCCTGGGGAGGAAGGCAGCAAAAAGCTTGGTAAAACTATTTGAACTTGGAGTTATATCATCTACCACTGGGACAATGACATACTATCTGTTTACCCCTTCCACAATGGGTTAGGCAAAGAGGAGAGCCTCTACCGTGATGCTAGCAAGCATCAACCTAAGGGCTTGTTTTTCATGTAGTGAATGGAATATTTTCCTAAAAATGAAAAAGAAAGTAAAATAAATACATAATCTAAGAATTTAGTCCTCCTGCTTCCAGGTTGAAGCTAATCAGATGGGGTCAGGAAGGAACACTCCATAACACAGCACTGCACAATAAAGCATATTATAGGGGATTTGATTCATTCCTCAGTAGTATTGCTATTTACACACATTACATGCATAGGGCACCAAACACTATTGCACTGACTCCACTTTCTATGTTTTAAATGAGGAGCTGTTAACAATTCCAAATAAGAACAAATGCCAAACTCCTATAGACCCCTTACTTTAAGCCAGTGGTTTTCAAACTTTTTTTCTCACAACCCAGTTGAACATTGTTTGCCCGTGATCCAACATAATTATATCTTTTGAATAGCATGTGGACTCCAGGGGCAGGTTGTGGATGAGGAGTTTGGGGGTGCAGGAGGTGGCTCCTGGCTGAGTTAGGAGATTGGGGCATGGGGTTGGGGGCACAGGCTTACTTCTGGTGTCTCCTGGTAAGTGGTGCAGCAGGGATGCTCTTGCAGAATTCCTGTCTGTCCTGGCACCCTAGGCTGTTCTACACCATGGAAGTGACCAGCAGTAGGTCCATCTCCTAGGCGGAAGTACACAAACAGTTCTGTGTTGCTTTTGCTCTTAGGCACCACTCCTTCTGGAGGTGGGGCTTGGAGCAGTGCACAGTGCCCCATGACCTCCCTACCTGGGAGCCAGACCTACTGCTTGCCTTTTCTGGGATGCAGCATGATTCATGGTGCCAGGCCAAGGAGGAAGCCTGTTTTAGCATCCCTTATCACCTGGTCATCGTACAGCAAGGTGACCCAGTGCCTGACATTCTGTAGTCCCAGGTCATGATCTATACTTTGAAAAATATTGTTTTAAGCACTGAGAACAAGAAAAAAGGCAGCCAACGAACTACTGAAGGCTATGTCTATGCTACAATAAAACAACAAGAGATGGCTTTGGGCAGCTAACTCAGGTTTATGGGGCTCAAACTATGGAGTTATAAAGTGCCAGTGTAGGGTCTGAGAGCCCAGGCTTCTGCCCAAGCCCAGATGTCTACATGGCAATTTTATAGCTTTGGAGCCTGAATCCTGAGAGACCAAGTCAATTAACCCAGGCCAGTCATGGATGTTTCATTGCAATGTAGTCATACCCTTTAGTCTGCCAGGATTCCAGAGACCACAAGCAGGAAAACATATGAATAAAAATGTGTTTTGAAAAGTATTCTAGTAGCATATATGTAAGATACATTTCTTGGGAAGTAAATTCCAGATATGTAAACCACTATTTAATATACCCTGCTTCCACCTTCTTCAAGCTTCACCTTTCAGGACAGTTAGCTACAGTGAACATAAAGGAGCACCAGTCTCAGACAACTAACCACCAGCATCACTGCTTGAAGATGCAAGGTAACTGACTAGATCAGGTAAGGGCCTGGCCCAATTAATCTGTTCCCATTTTCCTTTGATCCTAAATGATCCCCCAGAAAGGTAAAATAGTAGATTACATACTAATCTCATTACTTGAGTCTTTTAACTTGTGGAGTTACACTTTTGTTTAATTATCTCAGAGCTTCCAGCAACAAAAGATGTAAAAACTATAAATCTTTTTAAAATTATTGCAATTCTTTCTGGTTAAAATGCTCTCCACAATGGCTATTGCAAGAAATATACTTCCCCAATCCTGTTTTCCATTAGGAACTTATTTTCTGCATGATCTTTCTATGGATCCTTTACACTTCACCACCTTTTCCTGACAACCCCCTCCCTCTAGCCACCATTTTTGCAGTCAAGAAAGACTGGATGAACCAGTCAACAATATATCTTGAAAACCAGTTGTGGCAGTCATTTTTGGATACTGCACTGCAGTACACATGACTACTCATTCCTCTCCCCTCTCTCCAAAAAAGATTGAGAGTGTAGGTGGTTTGGTTTTGCATTGTTTGTATAGTTGGGTGTAGGTTGAGAATCGGTGGCCATTGGGAAAATTATGAAACCTATGACAAACAGAATTATCCCCATTACTTTGCATTTAACAGCAATTTGATTAAAAGAATGCATTAAGAATGTGAACATTCCAGTGCTTTGTTATAAACAAAATCACTCTACTTGCCAAGCATCAGGAAATGAAAATGATCAGCTCAGCATCATTAGTAAAAAAGACAATTACATTTCAGAAATTCTGTTTTAGTTTTAATAAGGTGTTACTAATAGCATATAAAGGACTCAAAATATTTTTCTCTTGATTATGTTCCTTTAATTATCCAGAGGTGAATACAAATAGAGAGAGAAAGAGAGAGCAGAATTTTGTCCTAAGTATTCATTTATGCATTCTTGACCATTTGGCTATTATGTCAAAAGAGAAATACTGAATCAGACAGGCACACAAGTGGGAAGGAATCTCCAGGCTTCCAGAACAAAGCTAGTTTTGCTAGGTCGTTTAATGCCAAGGAAGGTCAGTCAGGGTATAACCGGGCATAATTAGTACTCCCATACTCAGGAACATTCTTTACTTTCCTGTCATGTGACAACTAATACCAAAGGAAATGAGAAGTTCTTTCCACCTCAGAAATTAAAACCTTTGCTAATCTGAACATGTCAACAAAAAATTCCCACCATGTATCATAAAGAACAAAAGTACGGCTGCTCCCATGAAGATACGATTTCTGATAGTAAAATTTGATCTCTAAAGCCAACACTCAGAGAGAGATGGTATATGAACAGAATCCAGACATTTGCTGATATCTACTTTTAAAGGTAATATTTCAGGTTCAGAGAGTCTGTCAAGCAGAGGACCAAATGATAAAGGGATTGGAGCTGGGTTATAGAGGCATTTACTGAGCTAATATGACCCTGCTCCAGCTTATTTGTAACCAAAAGTTATGACACCTTTTTGGTAACCAACATGAAATGAAGTGATGTTATACATGTGGTGGTGAGTGGAGAAAGAATACTCAGGGTATAGGTGTACACTCCAAAATACTACAAGACATGTTGTTAGTATTGTCAGCAGAGGTATTTTGGAGTGTACAAGACATGTTGTTAGTATTGTCAGCAGAGAGGCTAAGTATTGAATAGGTCAAGAGTTCTCCAGTTTTTTTCTAGTGTGGACATTTTGAATACAGGGATTTTCTTCTTGCAGAAACCTCCTCTTCCATTCACAGATGCATAGCATACCTGTGATAATTAAAGAAATTGTGTGTGTGTGTGTGTAAAAGTGATATCAGGAATGCATATTTAGCTTCCTTTAATTCAGTGTTTAACTACTAGAGTGATGACTGCCGCTATGAGACCACACTGCACTCTACAGACAATAATCAACCATCCCACAGATCAGTTTGGGAACCTCTGAATTGGGTCATTTGAGACTGAACTACTTTCTAAAGTCCTATGAGAGGGCCCCCCCGCAGGGGAGGGCTAAAGCACAATAGGAGGGCAGCATGTAAGGGAAGCCTGAATTGCTGGTGCCCTTGCTAAACTGGTTCTGGGCATAAATATAGGACTTTGGTCTTCACAAATGTCAAGGAAAGCACTTTCTACAGTGTTAAAATCACTTCAGTGAGTTTTAATATATTTTTAAAGACCCTGCAATTATTCCTGGAGCCCTGCAAATCTGCAGATATCCTCAGATCATTTTTGGGGATACAGATGGAGATCCGCCCAGGGTTCTAATTATCCCCACAGTTCTTATCACACTATCTCTCTTTCAGACAAGCCTACCATTTCTAAGGTCCCTGTCTGGATATTAGAAACTAATGAACACAAGACAAGTAACTGCCACATAAGAAAGGCTGAATTTTCCCTGCAGTACCTACCCTACTGTATCTTACTCTGCTTCACAAGGGTCCAATCTCTCACCCTTGCAGGAGAGGCACTGACCTGGTCTACACACTAGTGGCAGGAGGCGTCTTCCCCAAAATTGCTTGTGTAGACAAAGCCAAGAAGAAAAACAAGGCTCTCTCCTCTTAACCAATGGATGAGAACCACTACATATGGGAGTTTAACACTTTCACTGCTGCCAGAACATGGAGCTATTCACTAGTAAGAAAAGTTCTAATCTTGAGCTATAAGCCATTGATCCCCACAGAAGTAATGAGACTGGGAGTGCGGAGGAAACAGCATGCACAGCTGGATGCTGGAAAGGGAAGGAAAACTCCATACTTTTCTACTGATACCTGCTTTGATGTGCCAATAGGCTCAGACATGAACAGTGCATCCCAAACTACATCTTTATTGGGACTCTAGACCACAAGTGGTAATTCTACTGTACCCCAAATCCAGTTTAGTTTCTCTCTGTCCTTCCTGCTTCAACAGCAGATCCTTAAAAGTGAGGAGGAAGGGAGTGTGCAAAATGTATGATTTTTATTTCATTCCCCAGATCTGTGCTGAGCAACCTGGAAGTCTACAGCCTCTGCTGGTATTCAGCAAACAAGCAGGCTCTAGTTCTCAGCATATGGCTCCTAGATTGAACTATAATAGCTGGTTTCCATACAGAAGGCTCTAAATTTCTGTAGCAGGATAGACACAAATATCACAGATTTTAGAAAGGGATTGGAGGTTTGCATGGTAAAACAACATCCAGACAAATTAGTAAAGGCAATGATTACACAAAACCAGCCACCCTCCTGCTTCAGGATACAAAATTATCAATGGCTGGGGTGAGAAAGAAAGCAGTGATCCTCCCCCAAAGCACCTCAGGTCAGTGTGGCCATAACTAGCCACTGTTAGAGAACAGATGACTCATTGTTCAGTTCCAGTTTGGCAGCTCCCAATTTCTTTGTCCCCCAATCACCTTACAATAGGAATCTCTGGTAGGAAGATGGGTGGGAAAAACTAGAGAGAAGCCTTCTGTTAGAAAAAGGGGAAAAAAAACTTTTATTGGTGTACATTTTGCAGATTGTTACAGAAAGGGCCTTCAGTTAATCTATCAGAGAAAACATAGGGACATATAATTGTGCTCATACCAGCAGGGCACTAGTCAAGAACAAGTTCCCTATATAACAATACGTAGAGATTTTTTTCAGTTGCTTGACAGTTTGAACTCATTTCTCAGACTTTTTTTTTTTTTTGGGGGGGGGGGGGTAGAAAGACGACAAGACGACGACCAGATGAGACTTCTTACAGAGAGGGAAAGCAAGGAAAAGAGAAATGCAGATAACTCCCTGATTCCAGGAAGGGCGCAAACACAGTGCCACTCCCTTGATATGAGAGCAGATCCTCTTAGAATGTAAGTGCTTGCCCACTAGGCATTTAGGCAGACACTAGCCACACCTGAGAGATGGCAAGAGTCAGTAGTCTGCTTTTGCCATCTCCAGTATCCGTTATTATTGGGTTCCAATCCCCAGTCAATTTTGTTCCTTTACACACACACATAATTTAAACATGTAAGATTTTAGAGAAGATTAATTAGTTCTCAATAACAGTGAAGTCCAGAGATGCTTTAAGACCCTTTCCCCAACACTGCAACAGGTACAGCAGCACCACGGGTGAATCACCTCTTCTTGAAACCATACTTCTTGCGCTCGTAAAACAGATCAGTCTTGGAACTTCCCAGATTGACAATCTTAGGGCAGCCATCCCTCTGGATGCAGAGAAAAGGACATGGTTAGAGCTACAGAACGCAGAACAGTCTAGTCATGTAGGCTATCCCACAGCTTGAATGGGGTATGAAGAGTGACCACTCTCCTCCACCTTACAAAACCCTCCTGCAGGCAAACTTCCCTTCTACCCCACTAGCTCAAGACAGTCAAACTGAGGAAGTGGAGGGGAGGAGGGAAGCCTTGATAACACTAACTACGGCATTCTCTTCCTCAGGGAAGTATGAAGAACAGTTTGAATATCATCAGTTTAATGAAAGATGTATAGGGCTCAGAGACTAGATCCTTCTAAGCTAGGATATATGACTTATGAGGACAAAGAGAACAATTTCCATCCAGAGTCAAGAGGCACCTACTTCCATTAAGTATCAACAATTCTTCCTTGAACCCTTAGTTCCTGCAGCCAAAGCAACTCCCAGGCTGTGTCCAGACTCAGGGGTTTTTTCGGGAAAAGTAGCCTTTTCCCGAAAAAACTTCCCCTGCGTCCAGACTCAAGCCGCGTTCTTTCGAAATAATTTCGAAAGAACGCGGCTTTTCTTTCGATGGCGGTAAACCTCGTTTCACGAGGAAGAACGCCTTCTTTCGAAAGTTCCTCTTTCGAAAGAAGGCGTTCTTCAATGTAAATAGGGCTTCCTCGAAAGAGAGCATCCAGACTCGCTGGGTGCTCTCTTTCGAAAAAGCGGATTGCTCTTTCGAAAGATCCGCCTGCAGTCTAGACGCGATCTTTCGAAAGAGGCTCTTTCGAAAGATGCTTTCGAAAGAGCCTCTTTCGAAAGAAGCCTGCAGTCTAGACATAGCACGAGGAAGAAGCTAGCCTGTGGGTTTTATAAACTCCACCGTTTCAGAAGCCCCTGTATTTCTCGTTCCACGAGGAAGAAGGGGGCTTTCAAAAGAGGGAGTTTTTCCGCAATTTGGCCCAGTCTAAATGGGCTAAATTTCAGAAAAGCCTCTTCCGACTAAAAGTATCAGAAAAAGATACGCAAAATACGGAGCACATTTCACGTATCTTTTTCCGATAGATCCTTGCAGTCTAGACGTACCCCCAGATTCCTCACGCTTTAGACACACCAGAATAAAATTTAATTCACTGTAGTGGTCACACAGTCGTTTTGTAGATGCAATGGTACTCATAGCAAGTGTATGTGGAAAGGCCTCCATATCCCAGTCCTGACAACTGGAGAAAAATCCAGACATGAGACAAGGCAGCTAGGAAGAATAAATCAATGGTGCAGCTGTGAGTTATGGGAGATGGAAAAATGAAATACAAATCAGAACATGAGCCAAACCCCTTCTCGATAATTAGAGATGGGACATGTACATGTGGCATGCCAGAGACCATTTGCCCATGGGTCACTCAGCCTGGCATCTGTGCACCTCATGAGGACAAAATGCTGCTACTGGATTGGCAACTGCACCGTGCTGAGGGGCTCAGGAACACCCTGTATCCCTGGTTGCTGCATAAACCTGAGTAGATTAGATGAGAAAGCTTCTGGGAAGATGTCATCCACTGCAGAGACCACACCCAAGCTGTAGCACCAGTTCTTGTTATGGGGGAAGAAAAGAGGTTGGACGGGCAGGATGGTAGAGACAGAAGAGTGAAAAAAAACAAAGAAAATAATTCTCTCTTCTCCCTTCCCACTACACCCACACATTTATGCCTACACCAACTAGCCTCTAGCTCCTTCCTTGTGGTTTCACTTTGAACCTCCTAGGTGGGGCCCTTCCAAACCTCTCCTCCCACAATTCAAGGCATCTGTGATAAATCTGGCAGCTTTATTACAGGCTTCAGTTCATTCCTCAACCCCCTGAAAAGGATTTGGCACATGCTCATACCTCCATTCTCAAGAAAGAAATTCTCCCTGAAACTAACAGCTTACCAGGATGACATGACATGATCTTGACCTGTAATGCCAGATGGGGGCATGAATTGAACCAGTGCTCCCCCCAAAAAAAACCCAAAACAAAACAAACAAAAACAGCTCCAGCCACCTTTTTCCTTGGAGGACGTGCCCTACAGCCCATCTCACTCATTTTTTGCTTTCTTGCTTCACAGTCTAATAGAAGCACATTCCTCTTAAATCGATCTGGGGCTGAATGCAAAGCATTTGGGAAAACAAGATTAAGTGTTAAAGCTTCAGACACAGTTCTGTCTGTAGAAGCAGAACTGTCGTCCTAATCATTTGTGTTTATTTTAAAAAAAACCTCTCAAGACACTTTTCCACAAGAGATCGGCATCCACCTTTAATCACTGCATTCCATCTCCTGTTTATTTGGAGGCGGTATTCTTCACATCCTGCTGACTTTGGGTAGTGCAGCTGTACATGATAACATTGCCATGTTTCACCTCAAAAGTGGCTGCGTTTTAGTGGTGTGAGAATAATTTCTGTGCACAGTCATTAAGCACTAATGGGATCCTGCTACAGAAACATACGGAAACATAGCCACCGGAAAGACGCCATTTCTAAGTTGGAACATAGCGTTGGCAAACATGCCCACAGTAGTGAAAAATTCATAGCCAAATAAAATGGGAAAGGGAATTTCAGGTGTTTTGACTGCAATTACCTGAATTAGAATTTGGTTAGGACACCAGAGTCATAACCCATACTCTTATGAAAACCCTCAACAATTTAAACGGCTACAAGTGGCCAGGACTTTTGTGTTTTTCATCTAACCCAAACAAAAAACACCAGTAATACTGGCTCTCCTACAGCACCCCACATACAGGGTCGTTGATTCAGTGTTGACTGGAGTAGAGTCACATGCTTTTTGCACCATCTGAGAATTTCTAAGCCAGTGACCTGACCTTGATAAAGCTTAGCTTGCGAGACCTAGTAAGATAACATTTTAAGTGGCAATGTGTGGATGAAGTGAACCATGTATTTGCAGTTTGTCAAGTACTTTCCAATCCTTTGGGATGAAATGCATGAGAGAAATATCACAGGACTTATTTGTAGGTCTCAAATTTTTACAAAGGTGGATAAGCACCAATATCTTGAAATGCATAAAAGAGAGGAAAAGTGAAGTGACTTCTTTGTGGTGACAGCAAGCCAGTGGCAGAGTTGAGACTGGAGCTCAGGTGACCCAAGTCCCCACTCCATGATCATTCCACAAGACCACAGCTGCCTCTGCATGACTGTTAATAAAGATCACATCCGTTCAACAAGAGACAAAAAGACCACCTTGAAGCACTGCATACAACTTACATCCTTCTCCTGGATGGTGCACTCTTTGCAGTAATAAGCATCAGAGACTCCTGGACCGCCGCAAATCACACAGCGCCCTTGGTACGATCCATAATTACACTCATCACATATGCGCACAAGTGTGCAGGGTCGCACATAGGAGTCGCAGATCACGCATTTACCATCACCTACAAATAGAACACAATACTCAGCTAAAGAGTTTCCTTTGCCAGCATTCTCTCACAGAGCGGATAACTTCTGAGCCAAACAATTCCTCCATACACTAAAATAGCGGAACTGAGTTTGGAAATTCCATTTTGCTGGCATATGAAAGCCATTTTCTACTAGCTCATTCACCTCAATGAAGTAGGAGCCAGTATCTTACAAATTTAATTTTCATTTCTTTTTGATTTGCAATCAGAATCAGAGATTAGGGCCAATCCTCTGACCAGCCAGAATTTTACAAAACTCTTTGTTATATCATCCCACATTGGGTCTTCAAACTTCTTTGATAAATTTAGCATTTGCAAGATGTTGCTGAACTGACAGTAAAAAAGTCTTTAACTATAGGACAGTTAGAACATGGGCAGCAGCAGGCATACTACCACATCAACATGAGACTGGAATACTACCTCCAAAGGATGAAAGGGGAGGTTCAGTCTTTATGACCTATTTGATCCTTGATTTCTAAGAAGGCCAAAGAGAGGGCGGATTTGTGTAGAGAGCCACAACAATTTCTGTTATATGTAAACCTCACAAGGAACTGAGTGAAACCTAGTAATTCATTAGTAGGCCAAACAAACAGTCATCATATACCAGTGACTGTCCGTAGTGTCCTGGACTATCTCCAAATCACTGACCTAGAGCTGAAAGGCTTCATATCTTATTACCAGTCTTCTCGAGTTATCTAATCCCTACCAGCACTAAGGATTCTTATCTTTGTAGTGATGAGGCTTCAGCTACTTCTTATGGAATTTATTCCACCCCCATGTACTCTTGAAATACTTCCCTAACATCAGACTAAATTTCTCCCTCCTCTGCTCCTTTTCCCACTATTTTCTGAGATACAGGTTAGCACCCTTATTTCATTTCTACTGTGTCCATGAAATGACTGTTCATACCCTCTCATTTTCCCGTCTCCTCTTTTACAGTAGGAGAACCATGCCTTTAGTTCTGTCTCTCTTCACATGTCATATCGCTTCATATAATTGTTGCTTTATATTTTCCACATTCATGATTATGACTTGAGCCTCTCTCAAACTGTGCAATTAGCATTTTTTGAAAATTGATTTTTCCACTTTTAAATTACCAAGTAATCCATTTTTATTGCAAAAAGATCATCAAGAACTTATCAGTACAGTCCAAATTCCTTAAATTCTGGCCATAAACCTGTTTTTTATCTACAGGTAGGACTCGCTACTGTACCTTTTCCATGGCGCACACTAATATTTGTGCTTGCTTGGCATCTTCCCTGTGAGTCTATCAAAGTGCTTTCCAAATATTTCTCAATGTAACCTCACAACACTCATGTGGGCTTTCCCATTTCAAAGAGTGATTTGTCTAAATTTACATAAAAAACGTCAGTAGCATAGCTGAAAATGAAATCCAGGCTGAATCCCGGTTTTGTACTCTAACCATCCTCTGCCTCTAACTGTATGACAATGCTCTCACAAAACACCACGTGTAGATGTTATACTTACATTTTTCACACAATCTTCCAATAGCTGCAATAAGTAAAGCAGAAAAAATTTATTTGACAGAAACAATTCAAATACTTTTGTTTTAAATAGATGAACTTTTTAAAAAAAACATTCATTTACTTTTAAATCAAATTAAAATCTAAACTAATTTTACAAAATACAAAGGCAGACTTAAAATAAATACATACGAGTGGTAAGCATATCCTTCTAAGCATACATTTGCCAACATCAGAGTTTAAAGATCAATGTTTTCCATGCAGCATTCAATGGCACACTTACAGAAAAGGGCAGCATTCATTACAGTGCTTCAGGTTTTAGCAAGAACAGGAGAATAACAGAGTCTTATATACATGGGTCATTAGGGATGTAAAATTCTGGTTAATCAGTTAAACATAAGGTTTAAACAGTTAACAGGTTAATCGATTAAGTAGGATCCCAGGTGGGCACTACTCCAGCCTGGCTGTAGCAGCCCCCAGCCCATGGGGCCGCTGGCTCCTGCTTCTGGCAGAGTTCAGTATGTTATCTGAATTAACTGAAAAAGTATTACTATTTGTCTCTAAGATTTCAAAACAATCTACTAAAGATTTTGAAGAGTGTGTGTGTGCAAAATCAAGTCATACTTCAGGATTGCCTGCAGATACCAAATTTTGCATAAATAATTCTGTTGAACACACTACTTATTATACCGGAATATGCTGGGTGAAAGGTTTAAATAATTATTTTTGTTTTTCATTGGAAAAAAAGTCCTGACTATCATGATTAGAGTTCATAAAAAATATTTACTAACAAAATTAAAATCAAGTTGCCTATTCATTTTAGTGCAAAGAAAATGTTTGTTACAAATCACAAAATAATTCAAATTACTTACGGAAAGAGTAATGGAGTTTCTAATTCAAATTTACTATGTATAGCAATTATTCAAAAAATGAATAATATTTGAAGTTTAAATGCTACACATTTAAACTGGTCTTTTACTTATCTTTTACAAGTGGATTAACAACAAATTCTATTACATATATTTAATTTCTTGAACTTTCCTGTAAGTGTAATCTATGCAAAATGACTTTGCCTGGTCAATGATGGACCTCACCTTGCTATTATTAAATAAATAACACAGTAGATGAATGTATGCAGGGTAGGGATTTTAAAATGAGGTAGTAATGGAGTAGTAAAATTGATAGAATTTGTATAGATTACTTGATTAGTTGATAGGGGCTGGCAGCCTGGCTCAGTCCCGGCTCGCAGGGGAACCAAACCCTGCTGCGACTCTGAAATTTAAAAGGCAGTAGGAGGTGGGAAGCAGGCTTTTAAATTGCAGAGCCACAGCGGGGTTTGGTCCCTACGCGAGCTGGGACTGAGCCAGACTGCCGGCCCAGTGGGCAGCAACCCCTGTCTGCAGAAGGTCCCAACTCCCCATTGTGATCCCCTGTGGACAGAGCCTCACCTGCCCTCCCCACCCCATACTGCTGCTTCTGTTAAAGGCAGCAGTAGGGGGAGTGGCACTGTGGAAAGGGTGCTTGGGGGAACCAGCTTTTAAGCTGGCTCCCACCAGCACCTGCTCCTGATATAAAGGCAGCAGGGGAGGGGAAGGGAGAATGCAAGCAGTCGACTCGATTACCCAATGAACCTAGGCTTATTTGGTAGTTGACTAAACAATTACTCTTTTGCATCCCTAATGCAGTGTTCGTGTAGCTGTGTTGGTCTAAGGCAGTGGTCCCCAACACAGCACCTGCGGGTGCCATGGCACCCGCCAGACCATTTACATGCGCCTGCTGAGTGATCGGGGCTGGCCCCGCCCCATGGCGTGCGGTGCATGCGTGGTGCCGGCCCTGGGTGTGTGATGCATGGGGTGTGTTGGCCCCGAGCGCGTGGCACATGGGCTGTGTCGGCCCCGAGCGCGCGGCATATGGGCGGCCCCACCCCTGGGCATGTGGCGCATGGGCAGCCCCACCCCCGGGCGCCCAGCAGCCCCAAAACGTTGGGGACCACTGGTCTAAGGATATTAAAGAGACAAGGTGGATGAGGTAATGTCTTTTATTGGACCAACTTATGTTCGCAAGGAGCATTTCTTCCCCATAAAACAGAACTCTGCGTAAGCTTGTCTTTCACCAACAGCTGTTGGTCTGATAAAAGATCTCACCCACCTTGTCCCACTAGTTAATGGCCACAATAAGTACAAAGCTATAGAGAGTTGTATACCATAGTCACCATCACAGCAAAAAAAACTGTCACCACAGGACAGATACACACCAGGCTGGAAGAGTAAGTTTCAAAGTTAAGCTTCTCACCAGAAAGTTACAGTTCTATTCTGAAAGTTACAGTTCTATTCTGAAAACTGATTCTTTCAAAATAGCAACCATGTTCAAATTTGCTCTTACAACCAAAGCTTTTTTTCCCTACTCAGCCAAATAGCTCTCAATCCAAGAATCAAGGCAACCTCTTTCAGTCTCATGCCCCAACACCACTAAATACATTTACCAACCTGACTTCTGGCCTCAGTTACATCAGATAACTAAGGACAGAACTTTGCCCTACAATTAAAAAAACAAAAAAAACAAAAAAACCCCCAGCATTTCTGATGATGAAGAGACAATGAGAAAACCACAATATTTCCTGCTTGTTCTCTTAGCTGTATTGGCATTATCAGGATAATAGGAGTAAAGAGCATTAAAAAGATATCTGAATACTAAAGTGAACAACTATGACTGTTTAAGCATATACAATAGTCTATTGAGTAAATAGAGTAAAATTCCAATTGTCCGGCATCCAGTGGTCCTCCTGATAGTCCGGCACCAACTGGAACCTGGAAGTGCTCCGGCCAGCCGGACAATTGGAGCTGTTCTCCCCCTGGCTTCCCCAAGTCAGCCGCTGGTCAGTTTCAGCAGTGGCTAACTTGGAGAAACCAGGGGCAGAGCAGCTGGGGTGCTGCCGGGTTTGCCACTGGTCAGTTGCAGCAGCGGCTGACTTGGGGAAGTTGGGGGCAGAGCAGCTAGGGTGCTGCCAGGTTGGTCCTGCAGTGCCACCCTCTCCCACGCTGCGCAGTTCCCCGCCGACTCCCCACCCAAGACACCTCATAAGCCCCCTTCCAGTACTCCGGCACAGCTGATAATTCGGCACCCCCTGGGTCTTAAAGGTGTGGGATTATCAGAAGTTTACTGTAGACGTTATATTCATTTTTCAAATAACTGAGGTGCAATTAAAAGTCTTGAAAACCAACAAGGCAGTTAAACCCCATCTGGCCACTTAAGAGGCAGCTAATGTAGAAAACCACCGTCAAACACAAAATTAAAATTAATAGACCCTTATGTTCCTTGTAGGTCACAAGTTGGCAGTCATACAATGAGATGTTAGGTTATACGGGAACACATTATGCAAGCCTGAGCACAAAGGTGAGGCACAAGGCCAAGAGCCCTGGGATAGCTGGAGAAGGGCAGGTGACGGGGTAAATGCGAGGACCAGGCTGCCTCTATTAAGCATTTTGGAGGCGCGTGGCTGCAGCAGTCACCCCAACGGTAGCAACAACTCCCAGCCCGGACAGGCACCTCGCAGCCCGAAGACACTGCGGGGAGGGGGATTGGAACATGCAACGTTCCCGCCAGGCCGGCACAGCCCGTCTGGGGGCAGAGCCAGACACAGGCCTTGGGGGCCCAGACTCCACCTGGTTCCAGACTGCAACGTGCACCCCCGGACCCCTCCCCAAAGGCGCCCAGTGCCGGGAAAAGCGCTGCGGGACGCTAGGCCCCGGGGAGTCTCGGGTTCCCCGGCCCGGGGTCCCCGGCCCGGGGCCCTCCCACTCGCGGAACCAGGAGCATCCGGCCTCACCCACGCCCGCCTGCTTGCGGCAGAAGATCAGGTCCGGATGATGTTTGGCCATTTCTCGTCACAGCGCGAACCGCGCCGCGCGCTCACCGTTGAGCCCTTTCACCCTTGACCTTTCACCTCCAGGTCCTGGCAGAAGCTACGTGACCATCTCTCACAAAGCTGCCCGCACTTCTCAATGGCAAACTCTAAAGCACTCCACAGCCATGTCCATAAAACATCCATCGATCACATCCACTTCCCCCGAGTCCGCCTCAAAGTTCCCTCTGCTAGGCCAGCTATCACATCCCCAGTGTTTGGAATACTTTCCTTCCAGGACCTAAAAAAACCCTCCCACTCGCCTCCAGACTCAGTCGCTAGATGGAGACCACCCTCTTTGCGGCTCGGCCCCGCCTTTTCTCAACGAAGGCCACGCCCACTCAAGAACGTTATTTAAAGGCCGCGCGTGACGTAATTGGAATGCGACCTCATCTTTGTCAGTGAACAAAATGGCGCCGTACTGTGTCCTGGCAGCTCGCTTGCAGGTGACAGCGCCGCGCG